CTTCACCTTGCTTCTGAGGTTGAAAGATTGAATGATGGAAGAATAGTCTTCATTTCTTGCTCCTTCGAATGCGAATTCTTCGATGATCACGGATGAAGCCTTGGCTCAGAAAATCTCGATAGAGTCTCCATGAGTCTTATCTATACCTGAAATCAGTTTTCAAGACAAAACAAAACTAAAAGAAAACTTAGCACACAAAAAATATTTTTGATTTTTGAATTTTCTGATTTTTGTTTGATTTTTAATTAATTAATTTTTAATTAATTTTTTTTAATTCTCTCCCTAAATTTGTGCATAGAGGAAAACTATGAACAAATTTACCAGAAACAAAAATATTTGGGATCAAAGTTGTGAGACAGTCTGAACTCGTTTATCGGTACCTTCACCTTCATGAATAGATCTGGTCAATTGCCGGTATTGTGGTCCACTTAAACACGAATGATATCGACAAATTTTTCTAAATAAATCATTTAGCTGACGACAACCACGGGTATTGTTGTCCACTTAAATTAAGCAGCGAGATCTACAGACAACCTCTAAATGGTTCAATTTTAGTTGCACTAGAACGTGTTCCCCACTTCCCGATATACCCTGGTTATCAAGAACTTCCTAAGGACTCCTTACTTTAGGTGAGTAAACAATTATTCATAGAGAGGATAGATTTAGAGTATTATTAATTATAGTTTTTAGAGGGATTGAGAAGTAGAAGGTTGCATATGTTGTGAACCAGGTCGGATTGTAATCACACAAAGGAGACAGCATATGGCTAACAGATAGGAAGAATTTCATAAATATAATATGCAGAGAAATAGATTTGCATATGTTGCAGTCCAGGTCGGATCTCTTCCAATCACGCAGAGGAAGCAACATATGACTGACAGATAGAAAGCAAGAAAATAATTTCCTACAGACCTACTTTATCAGAATCCCCAAGTCGCCTTATCAGAACCAGAATTAAGGACATAAGTCCGTACATCAAGGAAAAGTTAAGCCACAGTTCTAGATGCGTATTAATTTAGTGTATCCCGTGGGTTCCCGTGTTTATCTCACTGCTCAATCTACCCGAGCGTCGTATGGTCAGTCCAAACAATCCTATCTAAATCCACACTGTCAAATCCTTCGTGCCTACCAGCACTTTGAACACAGAGTCTAGACAATTCAGATTTAGTCCCTTACACTGGTTTAGACTGCCCGTTATCACTGTAACTTCATATCACTTCCCAAACCGTCACTTAACAGAGAAATATTATTATTATATTTTTTATTTTTCTGATTTTCTATTGTTTTTGGATTTTTTAATTTTTTAATTTTTGTTTTGTTTTTATTTCTCCCCCTAAATTTGTGCATAGGAGAGAAACGAAAGTAAATGCGCAAATTTAAACTATCCTAAAACAAAAATTAGTCTTTAAAGCAAATCAGCTTAAGAAAAAACTCAGGAGTATAGAGAAGAAAACTCAAACCGTAAGTCACCGATTGAATTTGCATCCAGAAGGTCTGAGAAAAGCACGCATAATCTCAGAAAAGATCCGAAAATTCTTCACATCGTTAAGCACATACCCCATGAGTGACCCCTTCCTTTCTTCCCTTCCCGCAAAGGACACATACTCTCAAACAAAATTCCGAGTGTTGTACAGTTGAGAGATGCCTCCTATCAAGTGCCTGGAACAGCCACTATCAACAAACCGAAGTCTGATGATATGCCTCCATAGCTGTTCCGACACCGAGCGGGATTAGTTGGTCTTTGGAACCCAGTCCATTTTGAAACTAGGTTGACCTTTTTCATCCTTGCAAGGAACTCTCTCCCACGACATATCCTGCTTATCACAAACAGAAGATGAAGAAATATTAGAATCGTTAGAAGATTTGGGAGAGTGAGCCTTTGGAACCCATTTGTAGTTGGGTTTAACCCATTTCTTTTTCGATCTGATGGGTGGCTCAGTACTTGCTTTTGAACTTGAGGTCTGTTGTCGAGATGACGTTGACCTAGCCGGTTTTGGTTTCGTTGGAGCATTTCTTGAAATTGGCTTCTGGACCGGCATTCCCTTCTTGCCCTTGGGAGTTGATTTGTTGGCCTTGGGAGTTTGATTTTTCGCCTTTTGCGCGTTCCAGTCGCTATTGTCTGAACGTGACCTTGAGGGGTTTCTTTTGAAGTATCTCCTTCTTGGCGCGTTCTGCCACCCTTGTGCATAGTAGGGAACGTATGCACGATTAGGACAATTTCTGGCAATGTGTCCAGGTGTTCCACAGTGAAAGCAAGTCTGCTTTTTCACGTAGGAGTTGTTCCTGCCCCTGGTGGCGTACCCTTGCCTTGTTTCTAGTTGTTCCCACATGCACACTTGCAGCAAGCAGTCGGTTTCGCTTGTTTTGGAGGCCTGTATTTCTCAACAGCAGGTTGATCAGAAGCAACTGAGTTCGAAGCAACGGATTCAAAGCTCAAGGAGATGTTGGTTTGTTCAATGGTTTTCTCCCTGTTCTCATCTTCTGCTACTTTACCTGCACATGTAACAGAATCATTAGAAACGTTCACCTAAACCTTTTCTGGCACAACCACAGCAGGTTTCCCATATTGAAGATGTGCCTCCCTGTCAATTTCTTCCTGTGTCATAGGGATGGATGCATAGTTATGATCGAAAGGGGGAGGAACACTATCATACCCTAGACCTTTGTTTTGATTATCTTTGAATTTTAATTGGGTTTCAAATAAGGACTCGACTGTCTTACTTGACGTAGTGTAATTTTTGAAACTAATATCTGTTTTTCCACACTTAATTTTCAAAGCGTCAAGTTCTTCAGTTACCGCAACAAGTTTTTTCTTAATGTAATCATAATTTTCACACTTGTTGCTGTAATCTTCCTGGAGTTTTCGGAAATCCTTGATTTTGGTTTCTAATTGAGCTTTCAGGGGTTTCTGTCCTTTCCTGAGTTGATATCCTTCGTATTTTAAGTCCTCATTCTCTCTCTTGATGAACTCTATTGATTCTCGCAAAAATTTCATAGTTTTAGCACAAGATGGAGAACATGAAACTTCATTTACCGGAATGGATGAGGAACTCATTTTTATAAAAAAAAGCCTTTTGACAATAAACCTCAAAAGTCAACCCTAAAAGTCAAATTTAAAAAGTCAAACTTGAAAAGTCAAACTTAAAAGTCAAACCGAAAAGCTAAATTTGAAAATTTAAAAGTTAAACGAGAAAGTCAAAGTTTAAAGTCAAAGGTCAAATCTTAAAAGTCAAAGTCAAAATTTTAGATCAAAAAAATCAAAAATAAAAGTCAAAAATAAAAAACTAAATTTTTTTTTTTGGTTGAAAATGTAATTTAAAAATGAAAGAAAATTGATTTTTGGGTTGATTTTGTCAAATTGCGAAACTTGGATGCGAGAATAAGATGTTAAGTTTAAAAATTCGAAGGGATGACACAAGGGATTGGCTGGCTGAGTTGGTTAAGCGCGCTGTGGCAATGACCTAGAGGTCCCAATTCCAGTTGAGATTAGATCAAAAATAAGAATGGTCCATATCGGAGCTGTAAAATTTTTGATAAAATCCCAATTCCAAGCAGGAATAAATTCTCCCATAAAAATGGCCTTAATTGACAACAAAATTACTGACAGACAGGACTGCATCTTAGGTGCTGCTAGGGGAAACCTTGCTTACCAAAAAATTATGTTTTCAGTCTATCCAAAAAATTTGCTCTGGATTTGAAATCTGCAAATATAGATAAAACTTTATCTTTTATACATCACTTTGAAAGAAGTGACCTTATGAACCCAGGTGATAAATCATTCACCATAACCTATCTCATAGGATATGCCCTAACCAATAGTCACCATAGCATAAACTACAAGAAAGACGAGTACATCGAACTTGATGATGTCTTTTCAGAAATAGGCCATGTCAAAGATAAACAATTCTGCGACATAAATCCTCAAGAAAACTTTTGGGTTTTAAATATAGCTAGAAACAAAAAAGCTCTAGGAGAAACTCTTAGACCAAGAATTTCTATGGACTCACTCCATATAGGAGAAAGCTCAGAAAGAAAAGATAGTAACTTGATAAGAAACATGTCTTTAAAAATTGATAGTCTACGTCAGAATATCAAACAAATCTCTAAAGTTATAAATGAGTAATAAAATAGATTTTCCTCATTTTTATAAAAAAGGTAAAACAGTAAAAATTAAAACTCTTGACGACAATACTAAAAAGAAAGAATACATTTTCTCTACTTCTGGAAAAGCTGGTATTCAAACAATTGTAAATCATTGCAATAATCTCAACCAGATCATTGCAAGATGTCTCTTAAAAACTTCAAAAATAAGTCATTACCTTGGTATTTCAAAAGATATTTCTAAAGATATTTCAAAAAATAAAATACCTTTTAACCAATTTAAAAACGATTTAGCCTTTTTGGTTAAAAACAATCTTGATAAAAATGATTTTGAAAAATTCTTCGAAGTTATTGAAAGGCAAAATAAATTAACTATCAAGTTAACCCAGTCTATTGACAAACATTCTATTCTTTTAGAAAACTTTTTAAAAAACAACCATTTTGTTGAAGAAGTCGCCAAAAAGGCAAATATTGAAGGCACTCTTAAGGAAAACAACCTTAAGATCACTAATATACAATATCAGTTAAAACAACTAATAGGATGACCTCGATTCCCGAGCTCAATAGATCAATCAACCTCCTTAATGAAAAAATAGATGGGTTGATCATAAACTTTGACTTAACAGTCAATAAATACGTAACCACTACACAGTTGGAAGTAGCATCTGCAAAAATTATTGCAGACATTACTAAAGAGTTATCTGAAAAGATTGACTCTTGCCCTTGTAATAAAGAATTCTTGAACACATCAAGAATATTTCCATCATAGAGCAAAAAACCAAACTTGGAAAATATTCAGGTCTTAAGAAATACTCACCTCCCAATCCTAGTATTGGAAACCCTGACTTAGGAAGCTCAAAAGACTCCCAGAAAATTGATATTTTCAAAAAAGAGCAAAAATGAAAGAAACAATCTCTGAGAAACTTGAGAAATATTTCTTTAACCTTCAATATGAAGATTATGATAAGGCTGACCAAAAACTTATTCAGCTTTTATCTTTAGAAACTAAAGAATGCGAAGAATTGTATCAAAAAGAACCCAAACTTTTTGATCAATATTTTAGAATGACTAAAATAGATGAACATGATACTGAATCAGAACAAGAAGATAACTTTAAAACTAATACAAAGACTGTTAAGTTCGAATATTTAGATATGGAAGATGATGAAGCAGAATCTTCTTATGCAGCCACAAGAAGAGGCAATAAAAAGAAATATGAGTTCAAAATGCCTGTACACAATGGTATTCCAGATAGTAGCAAAGGACCCAATACGATCAATATACTCAATATTGATTGTATCCAAGATCTAAAACTCAGAGAAAGAGTTGTAGAAAAATGGGTTACTGAGATTTCACTAATCTTACAGACAAACCCAGATGAATTTGAAAAAGCAAAAAATGTTCTTCTACTTTTAGAACACAAAACTGATGGAATTGTGCAAAAGTTCCTAAGAAACAATAATTGGAATGAAGATTTGCATGGTTCAGATCTTTTTGATAATCTCATAAATGTCATATACACTACTTTCTTAGGTCTTGATTATATTTCTAATAAAGACTTTACCATTAATAAGAAAGTTGACGTAGCAAGAGTTTCAATGACAAAACTCCAATTACATGATATTAGTCTTCTCGACAAATACACATGTATGTATGAATCATATTTATATGATATTCCCCAGAGAAGTGAATATGCACAATGGATATATGCTTATCTAATGAAAATTCCAATTATTGGAGAAATCTGTACTGAAAGATGGAAAAAAGAAGCTACTGGAGAAATCCAGCAAACCAGTCTTTCTTATGCAACAAAAATTGCAAAGTAAGAAATTGATAGAATCTGTCAAGATATATATAAACAACAAAAGCTCAAAACAATAAGTAAAGATTGTTGTAGCATTCTCTCTGATTTCAAAAACTTTGATATTGGAAGGAAAACTTATACTAAGAAAAAATATAAAAACAAAAAGAAATACAAATCTTTCTGGAAAAAGAAAAAAAGAAAATTTTCACCAGGAAAATACTTCAAAAAACCTTCAAAAGAATCACCTAAGAAGACTACTTCCTGTCCACGAGGAAAGAAAAAATGTAGATGTTGGATCTGCAATGAAGAAGGACACTATGCCAATGAATGTCCAAATAGAAAAAAATACCCTGACAAAGTCAAGGTTTTACAAACCGCTAATAATGGAGGTTATGAAGCTCTTGAAGAGGAGTATGAAGGTATACAACATGTCTTTACATTTCATGTTGAAACTGATTCTTCATCAAATTCCGATGAAAACGAATCAACCACGGATGACTCAGACTAGTCTCATACAGGCTCCACTTTTTAGGGAGGAGGAGTTTAACCATTTTTGCGCAAACCTCCAGAAGATTAATGATTCCCTTATCATGAATCTCACTAATCCAAACTCTATTTATGTTTCTGCCTTCCTTAACTTTAAAGGATATAAGAAATTTAGAGTACATTGTTTTGTAGACACAGGTGCATCTTTATGTCTTGCAAGCAAATTCATCATTCCGGATGAGCTCTGGGAAAATGCTCCCAAAGAAATTAGTGCCACTATTGCAAATGGTGAAACCATAAAGATAAATAAAGTTTGTAGAAATATTAATCTCGAACTTTCAGGAGAACATTTCAACGTTCCCACTATTTACCAACAAAATTCAGGAATTGATATCATAATTGGTAACAACTTTTGTCAAGTTTATGGACCATTTATACAATGGATAGATAGAATTGCCTTTCATCTTAATAATGATATGGTAATTATAAAAAAGGTCACAGAAGCCTATAGCAAAGGAAAACCAGGTTTTCTCGAAACTCAAGAAAAAGGATCTAAAGAAAAACAAATTCCGGGTACTAATATAACCCAAGAAGGAATTAATAAAGAAAGGATTATTTCTATTCAAACTACCAGGTTCAAACAGATTGAAGATCTTCTTGAAAAAGTTTGTTCTGAAAATCCTATTGATCCAGATAAAACCAAAGGATGGATGAAAGCTTCAATTAAGCTCATTAATCCCAAAACGGTTATTAGAGAAAAACCTATGGTTTACTCTCTACAAGATAGAGAAGAATTCTCCAAACAAATCAAGGAATTACTTGATATGAGACTAATTATAGAATCAAAATCCCCTCATATGTCCCCTGCCTTTCTTGTCAATAAAAAAGTAGAAAAAAGAAGAGGAAAGAAGCGCATGGTTGTCAACTACAAAGCAATCAATGATGCAACTATTGGAGACTCAAATAATTTTCCCAATATGCACGAACTTTTGACTCTTCTACGAGGAAAAAATATGTATTCAAGTTTTGACTGCAAGTCAGGTTTCTGGCAAGTCCTACTTGATGAAGAATCGCAGCTTCTCACTGCCTTCACATGTCCTGATGGACTCTTTCAATGGAAAGTACTACCCTTTGGGCTTAAACAAGCTCCTAGTATTTTTCAAAGACACATGCAGAACGCCCTTCGAGGACTTGAAGGTTTCTGTACTGTATACGTTGATGACATCATGGTCTTCAGCAAAGATGAACAAGAGCACTATGTTCATGTTACACAGGTTCTCAGAACCATTTTAAAATATGGAATAATACTTTCAAAAAAGAAAGCTCATCTTTTCAAAACAAAAATTAATTTTTTGGGTTTAGAAATAAATGAGGGTACTCATTGTCCTCAAAAGCATATTCTTGAACATTTACATGACTTTCCAAATGTTTTAGAAGACAAAAAACAACTGCAAAGATTTCTTGGTGTTTTAACTTACGCTGAAACATATATTGAAAAACTTGCAGCCATGAGAAAACCTTTACAGGTAAAATTGAAAAAAGATGTCATCTGGCATTGGTCAAATGCTGATACAGACTACATCAAAAAGATAAAGAAAGTTTTAATCAATTTTTCCAAAACTTTATCTTCCAAACATTGAAGACAGTTTAATTATTGAAACTGATGCTTCTGATGAATTTTGGGGAGGTGTTTTAAAAGCTAAAACCCCCAAAAACGAAGAACAAATTTGCAGGTACACCTTTGGCAGTTTCAAGGCAGCCGAGAAAAACTACCATAACAATGAAAAAGAATTACTCGCTGTAAAAAGAGTTATTACAAAATTCTCTGTATATTTAACACCAGTAAATTTCCTGGTTCGTACAGACAATAAATTTTTTACTTATTTCCTCCGAACTAAGATTGCAGGAGACAACAAATTAGGCCGACTAATACGTTGGCAAGAGTGGTTCTCACGATATACTTTCACTGTTGAACATCTCGCAGGAAATAAAAATGTACTGGCAGACTGCCTCACCCGTGACTTCAGGTATACTTTACATCATCCATGATCTCACTTGCTCCTCTCGAGCCCTATAAAAGGATATGATCCTCATGACATATTCCTCACAAAAAACTTCACCTATAAAAAAGAGAGGGGGAGATTAGAGAGAAAAGTAAACAAAAATTGAGTTTACAAAAATGGAAGACCTCAACACTTTGAGGATAAAGAAACAATGCTCCTCATTGAGCTATCTGCAATTGAGCAGAAAATCAACTTGTATGAACAAGTAACAACGGTCACCAATGTACCGGAAAGCGAAAGCTTAAAAACAAAGGCTATTCCAGTGCAAACGGCACCTGGTAAAGAATCGACAAATCCGTTGAAAGATGATGCTTTGCTAAAAAAACATAATAAAGGAGACCGCTACTCCTCTTCCTGAAGGAAAAACTAGCTTATTGGTTAACCCCAATCCTGGTACTGAAGGAATCAGTAAAATGACAACTTTGTCACCCACCAACAAATCTGTGCAGGAGTTCACACCAGATTACAAAAAAGCTCTTAACAAAGAAGCTGAAAGATTTTATGTAATCTACAAAGGACCACATGCCGATGTTCATACTAACTGGGGAATTACAGAAACTTTCTGTAAAGCTGATAAAGTTACTTGCAAAAAATTCAGAAATGAAGCATCTGCAAGATTAAGCCTTGCCACCTATCAAGATGATACAAGCAAAACTAACCAACCACTTCTTCGACCAAAAATCCAAAAAGTCAAAGAAGCTCACAGAGACCAAAGGTTTGACGTTCCAATTGACGTTCAACAAACGGTTAACTATCCTGAAATCTCTTTTGAAGATTTCAGAACAATCTGGAAGAAAGCAAGAGCTGCATGCCCAGAAGATCTTATTTATGAAAAGTTTTTCACTACGGATAAGAAGACAAAAAGTCTGTTCAACTTCCTCGAAGGAGCAGATGCAAATTTAGTCTACCAAGCCTTTCAAGCTGGACTAATCGACAATATCTACCCAAGTTGCAACCTTCAAGAACTCAAATTCTTCCCAAGCAGCATGGTAGAATCCATTAAGAACTTTCGAAAGAAAGTACTTAAAGCAAAAGATAACCCGATCTACATCAGATGCATCTCTTCACTCCCAGAATGGATTCAAGAATCAACTCTTTCTTCATACCATTTTCTGGAAATTGGTCTTTCTAAAACCAATAGAGAAATTGAACAATCTCGACCAATGGAGGATAAAGATCTACCATTCACAGAAATTCTTCATCCCAATCGCATCAATGGGTTAAGAAGAATCTCAGAAAAAATCATTGAGATTATCTCTGGTTCAAAAAAGAAGATTAATTATACCAACTCACATTATATAATTACAAGCTGGAGTTACAACAACACCAGTCAAGAAGATCTTCGTCAAGCCTCTATGTTTGGCGAAAAATTCATGAACAATACCATGGAAGTCTCCAACGCTACACACCAACACTTCTGCCGACATGCAGAATAACTTTCGAAGAACATCTCTGTCACTTTTGCGAAAGCAAAGATTCGGAGACAAAGGAGGGGCCCTCCTCTGAAGATGACAAATCCTCATCATCTTAATAAAAGATGCTACGCACACTTCCATCCACTCAGAAAAATAATGCGTCTTACCTTTTAGAGATGCCTTCCAGCTATCCACAATAATGTAATTCGTTAGTGGAGAGAAACGTCATGCCTGACGTAACAAACAATTATCAGACCCTCTCAATGTATCTATAAATTGAGAGTTATGTTTTCATTAAGGGCATCGCAATAACGAGTGCAAGAAAAACACTCTCTATCCTATAAAATTTTAATGTCTTGTGAGTAAAATCTCCCTTAGAGGGGAGAATATGTAAAATATTGTAAGAGTACTCCCATCTTGGGAGCTCTTTTATCAATAAATCCATGTTTTGTTATACTTGAGTGTTCATACAAAATAGAGTCATGAAACTTGTAAGTGACAGAGTGTCAGGTCGACGATGGTCAACAGTACCGCAGGCATGAGGCCAACAGGGAAAGCAACCATACAGACCAAAGGATGACACAGGCTGGCTTGAATAGTTTCTATCTATGTAAGTAATACTCCTATTCCAAAACACTTATTGATTAAATGAGTTTTCTCTTTACAATTTTTGTATCTATTCCCTTCTTCTTGTTAAAGACACTTAATGAACCAGTTTAGTATGTGTGTGCGGTTTTGTGCGGTAAAGTGTCTTTAACAAGAAGAAGGGAATAGATGCAAAAATTGTAAACACAGAAAACTCATTTAATCAATAAGTGTTTTGGAGTAGGAGTATTATTTACATAGATAGAAACTATTCAAGCCAGCATGTGTCATCCTTTGGTCTGTGTGGTTGCTTTCCCTGTTGGCCTCATGTCTGCGATACTGTTGACCATCGTCGACCTGACACTTACAGGTTTCATGACTCTATTTTGTATGAACACTCAAGTATAACAAAACATGGATTTATTGATAAAAGAGCTCCCAAGATGGGAGTACTCTTACAATATTTTACATATTCTCCCCTCTAAGGGAGATTTTACTCACAAGACATTAAAATTTTATAGGATAGAGAGTGTTTTTCTTGCACTCGTTATTGCGATGCCCTTAATGAAAACATAACTCTCAATTTATAGATACATTGAGAGGGTCTGATAATTGTTTGTTACGTCAGGCATGACGTTTCTCTCCACTAACGAATTACATTATTGTGGATAGCTGGAAGGCATCTCTAAAAGGTAAGACGCATTATTTTTCTGAGTGGATGGAAGTGTGCGTAGCATCTTTTATTAAGATGATGAGGATTTGTCATCTTCAGAGGAGGGCCCCTCCTTTGTCTCCGAATCTTTGCTTTCGCAAAAGTGACAGAGATGTTCTTCGAAAGTTATTCTGCATGTCGGCAGAAGTGTTGGTGTGTAGCGTTGGAGACTTCCATGGTATTGTTCATGAATTTTTCGCCAAACATAGAGGCTTGACGAAGATCTTCTTGACTGGTGTTGTTGTAACTCCAGCTTGTAATTATATAATGTGAGTTGGTATAATTAATCTTCTTTTTTGAACCAGAGATAATCTCAATGATTTTTTCTGAGATTCTTCTTAACCCATTGATGCGATTGGGATGAAGAATTTCTGTGAATGGTAGATCTTTATCCTCCATTGGTCGAGATTGTTCAATTTCTCTATTGGTTTTAGAAAGACCAATTTCCAGAAAATGGTATGAAGAAAGAGTTGATTCTTGAATCCATTCTGGGAGTGAAGAGATGCATCTGATGTAGATCGGGTTATCTTTTGCTTTAAGTACTTTCTTTCGAAAGTTCTTAATGGATTCTACCATGCTGCTTGGGAAGAATTTGAGTTCTTGAAGGTTGCAACTTGGGTAGATATTGTCGATTAGTCCAGCTTGAAAGGCTTGGTAGACTAAATTTGCATCTGCTCCTTCGAGGAAGTTGAACAGACTTTTTGTCTTCTTATCCGTAGTGAAAAACTTTTCATAAATAAGATCTTCTGGGCATGCAGCTCTTGCTTTCTTCCAGATTGTTCTGAAATCTTCAAAAGAGATTTCAGGATAGTTAACCGTTTGTTGAACGTCAATTGGAACGTCAAACCTTTGGTCTCTGTGAGCTTCTTTGACTTTTTGGATTTTTGGTCGAAGAAGTGGTTGGTTAGTTTTGCTTGTATCATCTTGATAGGTGGCAAGGCTTAATCTTGCAGATGCTTCATTTCTGAATTTTTTGCAAGTAACTTTATCAGCTTTACAGAAAGTTTCTGTAATTCCCCAGTCAGTATGAACACCGGCATGTGGTCCTTTGTAGATTACATAAAATCTTTCAGCTTCTTTGTTAAGAGCTTTTTTGTAATCTGGTGTAAACTCCTGCACAGATTTGTTGGTGGGTGACAAAGTTGTCATTTTACTGATTCCTTCAGTACAAGGATTGGGGTTAACCAATAAGCTAGTTTTTCCTTCAGGAAGAGGAGTAGCTGTCTCCTTTATTATGCTTTTTAGCAAAGCATCAGCTTTCAACGGATTTGTCGATTCTTTACCAGGTGCCGTTTGCACTGGAATAGCCTTTGTTTTTAAGCTTTCGCTTTTCGGTACATTGGTGACCGTTGTTACTTGTTCATACAAGTTGATTTTCTGCTCAATTGCAGATAGCTCAATGAGGAGCATTTGTTTCTTTATCCTCAAAGTGTTGAGGTCTTCCATTTTTGTAAACTCAATTTTTGTTTACTTTTCTCTCTAATCTCCCCCTCTCTTTTTGTAGGTGAAGTTTTTGTGAGGAAATATGTCATGAGGATCATATCCTTTTATAGGGCTCGAGAGGAGCAAGTGAGATCATGGATGATGTAAGGTATACCTGAAGTCACGGGTGAGGCAGTCTGCCAGTACATTTTTATTTCCTGCGAGATGTTCAACAGTGAAAGTATATCGTGAGAACCACTCTTGCCAACGTATTAGTCGGCCTAATTTGTTGTCTCCTGCAATCTTAGTTCGGAGGAAATAAGTAAAATTTTTATTATCTGTACGAACCAGGAAATTTACTGGTGTTAAATATACAGAGAATTTTGTAATAACTCTTTTTACAGCGAGTAATTCTTTTTCATTGCTATGGTAGTTTTTCTCGGCTGCCTTGAAACTGCCAAAGGTGTACCTGCAAATTTGTTCTTCGTTTTTGGGGGTTTTAGCTTTTAAAACACCTCCCCAAAATTCATCAGAAGCATCAGTTTCAATAATTAAACTGTCTTCAATGTTTGGAAGATAAAGTTTTGGAAAATTGATTAAAACTTTCTTTATCTTTTTGATGTAGTCTGTATCAGCATTTGACCAATTCCAGATGACATCTTTTTTCAATTTTACCTGTAAAGGTTTTCTCATGGCTGCAAGTTTTTCAATATATGTTTCAGCGTAAGTTAAAACACCAAGAAATCTTTGCAGTTGTTTTTTGTCTTCTAAAACATTTGGAAAGTCATGTAAATGTTCAAGAATATGCTTTTGAGGACAATGAGTACCCTCATTTATTTCTAAACCCAAAAAATTAATTTTTGTTTTGAAAAGATGAGCTTTCTTTTTTGAAAGTATTATTCCATATTTTAAAATGGTTCTGAGAACCTGTGTAACATGAACATAGTGCTCTTGTTCATCTTTGCTGAAGACCATGATGTCATCAACGTATACAGTACAGAAACCTTCAAGTCCTCGAAGGGCGTTCTGCATGTGTCTTTGAAAAATACTAGGAGCTTGTTTAAGCCCAAAGGGTAGTACTTTCCATTGAAAGAGTCCATCAGGACATGTGAAGGCAGTGAGAAGCTGCGATTCTTCATCAAGTAGGACTTGCCAGAAACCTGATTTGCAGTCAAAACTTGAATACATATTTTCCTCGTATAAGAGTCAAAAGTTCGTGCATATTGGGAAGATTATGTGAGTCTCCAATAGTTGCATCATTGATTGCTTTGTAGTTGACAACCATGCGCTTCTTTCCTCTTCTTTTTTCTGCTTCTTTATTGACAAGAAAGGCAGGGGACATATGAGGGGATTTTGATTCTATAATTAGTCTCATATCAAGTAATTCCTTGATTTGTTTGGAGAATTCTTATCTATCTTGTAGAGAGTAAACCATAGGTTTTTCTCTAATAACCGTTTTGGGATTAATGAGCTTAATTGAAGCTTTCATCCATCCTTTGGTTTTATCTGGATCAATAGGATTTTCAGAACAAACTTTTTCAAGAAGATCTTCAATCTGTTTGAACCTGGTAGTTTGAATAGAAATAATCCTTTCTTTATTAATTCCTTCTTGGGTTATATTAGTACCCGGAATTTGTTTTTCTTTAGAGCCTTTTTCTTGAGTTTCGAGAAAACCTGGTTTTCCTTTGCTATAGGCTTCTGTGACCTTTTTTATAATTACCATATCATTATTAAGATGAAAGGCAATTCTATCTATCCATTGTATAAATGGTCCATAAACTTGACAAAAGTTGTTACCAATTATGATATCAATTCCTGAATTTTGTTGGTAAATAGTGGGAACGTTGAAATGTTCTCCTGAAAGTTCGAGATTAATATTTCTACAAACTTTATTTATCTTTATGGTTTCACCATTTGCAATAGTGGCACTAATTTCTTTGGGAGCATTTTCCCAGAGCTCATCCGGAATGATGAATTTGCTTGCAAGACATAAAGATGCACTTGTGTCTACAAAACAATGTACTCTAAATTTCTTATATCCTTTAAAGTTAAGGAAGGCAGAAACATAAATAGAGTTTGGATTAGTGAGATTCATGATAAGGGAATCATTAATCTTCTGGAGGTTTGCGCAAAAATGGTTAAACTCCTCCTCCCTAAAAAGTGGAGCCTGTATGAGACTAGTCTGAGTCATCCGTGGTTGATTCGTTTTCATCAGAATTTGATGAAGAATCAGTTTCAACATGAAATGTAAAGACATGTTGTATACCTTCATACTCCTCTTCAAGAGCTTCATAACCTCCATTATTAGCGGTTTGTAAAACCTTGACTTTGTCAGGGTATTTTTTTCTATTTGGACATTCATTGGCATAGTGTCCTTCTTCATTGCAGATCCAACATCTACATTTTTTCTTTCCTCGTGGACAGGAAGTAGTCTTCTTAGGTGATTCTTTTGAAGGTTTTTTGAAGTATTTTCCTGGTGAAAATTTTCTTCTTTTCTTTTTCCATAAAGATTTGTATTTCTTTTTGTTTTTATATTTTTTCTTAGTATAAGTTTTCCTTCCAATATCAAAGTTTTTGAAATCAGAGAGAATGCTACAACAATCTTTACTTATTGTTTTGAGTTTTTGTTGTTTATATCTATCTTGACAGATTCTATCAATTTCTTCCTTTGCAATTTTTGTTGCATAAGAAAGACTGGTTTGCTGGATTTCTCCAGTAGCTTTTTTTTTCCATCTTTCAGTACAGATTTCTCCAATAATTGGAATTTTCATTAGATAAGCAGATATCCATTGTGCATATTCACTTCTCTGGGGAATATCATATAGATATGATTCATACATACATGTGTATTTGTCGAGAAGACTAATATCATGTAATTGAAGTTTTGTCATTGAAACTCTTGCTACATCAACTTTCTTATTAATGGTAAAGTCTTTATTAGAAATATAATCAAGACCTAAGAAAGTAGTGTATATGACATTTATGAGATTATCAAAAAGATCTGAACCATGCAAATCTTCATTCCAATTATTGTTTCTTAGGAACTTTTGCACAATTCCATCAGTTTTGTGTTCTAAAAGTAGAAGAACATTTTTTGCTTTTTCAAATTCATCTGGGTTTGTCTGTAAGATTAGTGAAATCTCAGTAACCCATTTTTCTACAACTCTTTCTCTGAGTTTTAGATCTTGGATACAATCAATATTGAGTATATTGATCGTATTGGGTCATTTGCTACTATCTGGAATACCATTGTGTACAGGCATTTTGAACTCATATTTCTTTTTATTGCCTCTTCTTGTGGCTGTATAAGAAGATTCTGCTTCATCATCTTCCATATCTAAAATATTCGAACTTAACAGTCTTTGTATTAGTTTAAAGTTATCTTCTTGTTCTGATTCAGTATCAGGTTCATCTATTTTAGTCATTCTAAAATATTGATCAAAAAGTTTGGGTTCTTTTTGATACAATTCTTCGCATTCTTTAGTTTCTAAAGATAAAAGCTGAATAAGTTTTTGGTCAGCCTTATCATAATCTTCATATTGAAGGTTAAAGAAATATTTCTCAAGTTTCTCAGAGATTGTTTCTTTCATTTTTGCTCTTTTTTGAAAATATCAATTTTCTGGGAGTCTTTTGAGCTTCCTAAGTCAGGGTTTCCAATACTAGGATTGGGAGGTGAGTATTTCTTAAGACCTGAATATTTTCCAGGTTTGGTTTTTTGCTCTATGATGGAAATATTCTTGATGTGTTCAAGAATGTCTTTATTACAAGGGCAAGAGTCAATCTTTTCAGATAACTCTTTAGTAATGTCTGCAATAATTTTTGCAGATGCTACTTCCAACTGTGTAGTGGTTACGTATTTATTGACTGTTAAGTCAAAGTTTATGATCAGCCCATCTATTTTTTCATTAAGGAGGTTGGTTGATCTATTGAGCTCGGGAATCGAGGTCATCCTATTAGTTGTTTTAACTGATCTTGTATATTAGTGATCTTAAGGTTGTTTTCCTTAAGAGTGCCTTCAATATTTGCCTTTTTGGCGACTTCTTCAACAAAATGGTTGTTTTTTAAAGAGTTTTCTAAAAGAATAGAATGTTTGTCAATAGACTGGGTTAACTTGATAGTTAATTTATTTTGCCTTTCAATAACTTCGAAGAATTTTTCAAAATCATTTTTATCAAGATTGTTTTTAACCAAAAAGGCTAAATCGTTTTTAAATTGGTTAAAAGGTATTTTATTTTTTGAAATATCTTTAGAAATATCTTTTGAAATACCAAGGTAATGGCTTATTTTTGAAGTTTTTAAGAGACATCTTGCAATGATCTGGTTGAGATTATTGCAATGATTTACAATTGTTTGAATACCAGCTTTTCCAGAAGTAGAGAAAATGTATTCTTTCTTTTTAGTATTGTGGTCAAGAGTTTTAATTTTCACTGTTTTACCTTTTTTATAAAAATGAGGAAAATCTATTTTATTACTCATTTATAACTTCAGAGATTTGTTTGATATTCTGACGTAGACTATCAATTTTTAAAGACATGTTTCTTATCAAGTTACTATCTTTTCTTTCTGAGCTTTCTCCTATATGGAGTGAATCCATAGAAATTCTTGGTCTAAGAGTTTCTCCTAGAGCTTTTTTGTTTCTAGCTATATTTAAAACCCAAGAGTTTTCTTGAGGATTTATGTCGCAGAATTGTTTATCTTTGACATGACCTATTTCTGAAAAGACATCATCAAGTTCGATGTACTCGTCTTTCTTGTAGTCTATGCTATGGTGACTATTGGTCAGAGCATATCCTATGAGATAGGTTATGGTGAATGATTTATCACCTGGGTTCATAAGGTCACTTCTTTCAAAGTGATGTATAAAAGATAAAGTTTTATCTATATTTGCAGATTTCAAATCCAGAGCAAATTTTGGATAGACTGAAAACATAATTTTTTGGTAAGCAAGGTTTCCCCTAGCAGCACCTAAGATGCAGTCCTGTCTGTCAGTAATTCTGTTGTCAATTAAGGCCATTTTTATGGGAGAATTTATTCCTGCTTGGAATTGGGATTTTATCAAAAATTTTACAGCTCCGATATGGACCATTCTTATTTTTGATCTAATCTCAACTGGAATACTTTTCAAGTTATTGTTTATTATTTCTTTAGTTAAAAGGGGTAGAAAGACAGCTCCTATTGTGTGTTTTATGTCTACAGACATTTCTTTAGTACTAACAAAGTAGAAAATTTCATTTTTTCTTTTAAGTGGATTTAAAATACTAAGTTTAGAAGGAACATTTTTGAAAATGTTTTCTTTCTTTATTTTTAAATCCGTTTTCTTAACTCGAGAGAGAAGGTCTTGTTTTATTAAGAGGTTTGCATGAAAGCCGTCTTCATCCTCAACATAAGTTAGGATTTGTTTTTCTTCTGAATCATTTTCTTCAGAATTATTGAAAATTTCTTTATTCATTTTAAGAAATGTTAACAAGTTAAAATCCTTTTTCTGAGTTCTGAAACTGAGTTTAAAGCTTTATCAAGGTGTTCTTGATGCATTTTTTGCCTATGAAGGAGGTACTTACGTATATTAACCATGGTTGGTATATATTCGTGAGTATGTTTATTTTGTGCTTGTAGAATTCTGAAATTTATATGCACTAAATCTTTTTTATTACTTAAAAGTATTTCTTTATGTTGAGAAATCTCATTCTCTTTATTACGAATTTTTTCGAAAATTCCACTGTAAAGTGTTTCATTATAATGTAATGTCATTTTAACAAAGGCTCTGATACCAGTTTGCAAGATTAATGATTCCCTTATCATGAATCTCACTAATCCAAACTCTATTTATGTTTCTGCCTTCCTTAACTTTAAAGGATATAAGAAATTTAGAGTACATTGTTTTGTAGACACAGGTGCATCTTTATGTCTTGCAAGCAAATTCATCATTCCGGATGAGCTCTGGGAAAATACTCCCAAAGAAATTAGTGCCACTATTGCAAATGGTGAAACCATAAAGATAAATAAAGTTTGTAGAAATATTAATCTCGAACTTTCATGAGAACATTTCAACGTTCCCACTATTTACCAACAAAATTCAGGAATTGATATCATAATTGGTAACAACTTTTGTCAAATTTATGGACCATTTATACAATGGATAGATAGAATTGTCTTTCATCTTAATAATGAGATGGTAATTATAAAAAAGGTCACAAAACCCTATAACAAAGGAAAACCAGGTTTTCTCGAAACTCAAGAAAAAGGCTCTAAAGAAAAAACAAATTCCGGGTACTAATATAACCCAAGAAGGAATTAATAAAGAAAGGATTATTTCTATTCAAAACTACCAGGTTCAAACAGATTGAAGATCTTCTTGAAAAAGTTTGTTCTGAAAATCCTATTGATCCAGATAAAACCAAAGGATGGATGAAAGCTTCAATTAAGCTCATTAATCCCAAAACGGTTATTAGAGAAAAACCTATGGTTTACTCTCTACAAGATAGAGAAGAATTCTCCAAACAAATCAAGGAATTACTTGATATGAGACTAATTATAGAATCAAAATCCCCTCATATGTCCACTGCCTTTCTTGTCAATAAAGAAGCAGAAAAAAGAAGAGGAAAGAAGCGCATGGTTGTCAACTACGAAGCAATCAATGATGCAACTATTGGAGACTCACATAATCTTCCCAATATGCACGAACTTTTGACTCTTCTACGAGGAAAAAATATGTATTCAAGTTTTGACTGCAAGTCAGGTTTCTGGCAAGTCCTACTTGATGAAGAATCGCAGCTTCTCATTGCCTTCACATGTCCTGATGGACTCTTTCAATGGAAAGTACTACCATTTGGGCTTAAACAAGCTCCTAGTATTTTTCAAAGACACATGCAGAACGCCCTTCGAGGACTTGAAGGTTTCTGTACTGTATACGTTGATGACATCATGGTCTTCAGCAAAAATGAACAAGAGCACTATGTTCATGTTACACAGGTTCTCAGAACCATTTTAAAATATGGAATAATACTTTCAAAAAAGAAAGCTCATCATTTCAAAACAAAAATTAATTTTTTTGGGTTTAGAAATAAATGAGGGTACTCATTGTCCTCAAAAGCATCTTCTTGAACATTTACATGACTTTCCAAATGTTTTAGAAGACAAAAAACAACTGCAAAGATTTCTTGGTGTTTTAACTTACGCTGAAACATATATTGAAAAACTTGCAGCCATGAGAAAACCTTTACAGGTAAAATTGAAAAAAGATGTCATCTGGCATTGGTCAAATGCTGATACAGACTACATCAAAAAGATAAAGAAAGTTTTAATCAATTTTCCAAAACTTTATCTTCCAAACATTGAAGACAGTTTAATTATTGAAACTGATGCTTCTGATGAATTTTGGGGAGGTGTTTTAAAAGCTAAAACCCCCCAAAAACGAAGAACAAGTTTGCAGGTACACCTTTGGCAGTTTCAAGGCAGCCGAGAAAAACTACCATAACAATGAAAAAGAATTACTCGCTGTAAAAAGAGTTATTACAAAATTCTCTGTATATTTAACACCAGTAAATTTCCTGGTTCGTACAGACAATAAATTTTTTACTTATTTCCTCCGAACTAAGATTGCAGGAGACAACAAATTAGGCCGACTAATACGTTGGCAAGAGTGGTTCTCACGATATACTTTCACTGTTGAACATCTCGCAGGAAATAAAAATGTACTGGCAGACTGCCTCACCCGTGACTTCAGGTATACCTTACATCATCCATGATCTCACTTGCTCCTCTCGAGCCCTATAAAAGGATATGATCCTCATGACATATTCCTCACAAAAAACTTCACCTACAAAAAAAGAGGGGGAGATTAGAGAGAAAAGTAAAAGTTACATCAGAACATGAAATGATACAGAATGTGGAGGATGAGAGTTATTTTGATGGAGATGGAGGAGAACGTGAAGGAAGTGATGAATTTGACTTCTCAGGGCTTGATAATGTTGCCATTCCTCTCAACTTCGATTTTGAACATGAAGTTGAACATGATACAGGTCTGGATTTCTCAGATAGATTCTTCGAAAAGGTCGATGAAGTTGCTCAAACTGCAACAGAGACTAGGGCTGCAAAGAAGACTCTCGAAACTATGCCTCCATTGTCCACCCAAATGGAAGAAAATTTGAGTCAAAAGGATACAGATTCTAGGATTCCTCCCCTAGATTCTGCTACTCCTACAACAGTTCCTCCTTCAAGTATCTCGACACAGACGCAGACCTCTCTGCCTCCCGTTCAAGAAAGTCATCAAAGTTTGAGGCAGAGAGTGCTCACTCAAAGCCAGTCATCACCTATTTCAGCCACTGTTATCACCACGACTGTTGCAACACCACCCCTACAATCTTATGAAGGTCCAAGTTCTATGCTTGAGACAGGAGGTCCATCTAATGTTCCTGCATATTCCCCATCAAGATCGTCTCTAGATGATGCTTCAGTCAGACTTGCTATGCATTTGTCTCAACACCCAGAATCAACCTCCCGTGGAAAAGGTATATCTTTAGAGGAAGGGCGCTCATGGGCTGATAATCCTCAAATAATCAAGCTTCAAGAAGAAATTGGCATTCTGAAGCAG